TGCCCCCCTCATGATGCCTGGCCTGCTGTGTTCCTCCAGCTCCACAGAGAAATATACTGCTTATGTTTTGAGGCCAAGAAGGGTTCATGTACTCGGCACAATTGGAATGATTGAACACGAGTTCGAGAATCAGCTGAACAGAAACACGAAACCTTGATTCTTTGTGGGAAGTGGGTAAAACAAAGATGAGATGGCGTTGGGGTGCAAGGTGAATAACAGTACATTGAGATATAATATTTATGCCCAAGGACGGGTTAAGCATCAGTGAACTCCTTCTGTCGTCTCTCAAATGTGCACCAATGATGTTTCAAAAGATATGGTTTCACAGTCTTTATTTACTGACCATACAACAATTCCACAGTTGTTAAATTCAAGACTTAGCTTAAAAATCCAAGCTAATGAAATGGAGCAGAACAAAATGCCAAAGAAGTTTAAATCTCTGGCAGAGCAAAGTTATTTAAGTGTTAAAATATCTAGTATGTCACCTAAGTATTTTGATAATTCTACTACCTAAACTCTCAAACCTCGTTTCCCTACATTAAGTTGTTGCTCAGAGCAGAGAACTATAAAATTAGGTTCGTCCCCATCAAGAATTTTTTGATTGAGAGCAGGTGATTGAATGTTTCTGGATTCATTTCTGTCTTTCGATGTAAATCATGACCAAGAGCTTCACTAACTTCAAATTTGGGTCTGTGTTCATGTTCCATAGATAACAAAATAAATGCTTGGACAAAAGAATTGTAGGAATATTTATGTGTTGAATTCAAGTAGCATTTTGCTAACTATGGTTTTATCAAGGATAAAGAGTTTCCACAGGCAAAGAACACAGGGCCATTTCCACCTGAAGACTGAACAAACCATTGTCAAATGTTAACAGGAGTACAGACAGCTATCCAGATCTTGAACTATGCCTGCCAGTGGACACGCTGAATGCTCCAATAGGATAAATCATGTGATACAACCAAAACAAACCAGGTTGCATCACAAACCCGTGTCGAGTGAACAGTCAGAGTTATACAGCACAGAAACAAACCCTTTGGTCCAACTCATCTGCACAAACCAGATATCCTAAACTGATCTAATCCCATTTGTCAGCATTTGGACTATATCCCTCTAAAACCTTCCTTTGCTTGTACCCAACCGGATACTTTTCAAATGTTGTAATTGTACCCGCTTCCACCAGTTGCTCTGACAGCTCATTCCATACACACACCACTCACTGAATGAAAAAGTTGCCGCTCAGATTCCTATTAAGTCTTTCCCCTCTCACCTTAAATCTATGCCCTCCAGTTCTGGAATCCCCTACCCTCAGAAAAAGACTTGTCTATTCACCCTATCCACGCCCCTTTTGATTTTCTAAGTCTCTATAAGGTCTATAATGTCTGTTGCTGTTGGTGTGTTCTTGGTTGATAGCATGGACCGATGTTAGTGAGTCAATTAGGAACAGTTAAGAATCTCACCAACCAATATATAATAATCCTAAAGGACATTGAGAGAGATAAATTGTGACCTGGAACGAGAAGTCAGCATCAATAATTTGAAAAATTTAACACAATTTTGGAAAGACTGCAAGTACTGTAGTAAAAGTTCATGTAAGCAGATGGAAACAAAATGTTATTACAACTAACAAAATGGACATATGTCAATGGATAGACAATGGAGGTGGGGTCACAGTCTTGGAGCGCCAAGGACACATGCAGTCGACGATGAAGACTAAACCAAATGTCCAGTTGTTCTCAATTTGGACATGTCATCATTTGCACTTGCAAGTTGAACAATATTTGTTTTCTGGTGTTACAAGTAATAACTGCTTTTTGCTAGAAACAGTTCATTTTTGTTTCCATAATTAGCATTCAATTTATCATTAATCACATCATTGACCTAGGTCCAAGAGAAGTCAGTCTCACTTCAACCCGCTGCCCTCCCACCCACTGTGCCCTTTACCACACACAATTATCCACACTGACTTCAATGCATGCAAAGGAAACACTTTTTCCTGTCACAGTAAATTCAGAACAGTTGAAGTGACCTTAATCAAGGTATCCAGATATCATAAATTTTTAAATTTGGAATTGCTTATACATCAGGAATGGACACAATCATATGTGACCAAAGGGCATGAAATATAAATTGGCAGCATGACTTTATTAAGAGGATATCCAAAACACATAGGAATTCATCACTATTCTCAAAAACTAGGTTATGAGCAATCCATACAGGTAATTTCTATCTGTCCTCTACAGAGCACATGTGCTACAAGTACATGCCACAGTGCTATTGGCGAATGATGGTAAAAAGACAGAGGGGAGGAAAGGAATTCCAGAGCTTACAACCTGAAAAGGTGATGGTACAACGACCAGTGGTGGAGCAATTAACGTCAAGAATATGCAACAGGTCAGGATTGAAAGAATACAGAATCATTACACTGCAGCAGGTTGCAATTTGACACAATGCCTGTGCCAGTTCTCTAAATATGCAATTCACAGAGTGCCTGCCCATTCTTCTTTTTCAAAGAAACAAAATTTTATCCCCTTTTGAAAGCTTTGATCGAACGCACCTCCATCACTAACAGAAAATATAGACTTTAACCACTCGCCAAGTAAAAAAGATTTTCTTCATGTCAGATAACTCAGAAAATTGAAGGTTACAGGGATGGGACAAACACACGGAAAAATGTGATAACGGATGATAATTTTTAAAAAAAAAAAAAATCAAACTTTGAGTTGGCATTACTAGCAGCCAATGAACATAGGGGTGGTAACAAAACGTGACAGTCAGGTCACAAGCAGCAGTGTTCCAAATTAGCTTACAATACATGGAAGGGTCATGTTGCACAGTGACAAAGTTCCTACCTCGAGATCAAAGGCATGGGTTCAAGTTCCACTTGCTCCAGAGATGTTTCATAATGTGCATGAACAGGTTGATTAAGGAATCTTTAAAAAGGGGTTTATGGCACAGTGGTGGTATCCTGACCGCTGGACCAGAAAGTCTGGGCTCAAGACCCAAGGTGAGGTGCCTTAACATCTTGAAGAGGTTGATTAAAATAACTGAAAAGTGATTGTGCCCATCTGCCATTTCCTCAGTGACAGCATCACTTCTGTCCATCTTCCACTTTTGATGCTCAAGTTTGATGAAATTCATTTTGGGCCTGTATCCATGACCGACTGGTTAATGTGATGAATTTGTAATGTATAAGGGTCTGTGGCACAGTAACATTGTCCGTACCTCTGGTCCAGAAAGTTCAAAGACTCACTTGTTCCAGAGATCTGTCAGAACATGTTTGGCAGCATGCGAGGATTTCTCAGTTATTTCTCTCTCTACAGATGCTGCCAGACCTACCCGAGTTCTCTCAGTTCATTTCAGATTTCCAGCATCTGCAGTTTTTTGCCTTTGTTTATGTCACAATATGTCAGAACAGCTTGATAAAATTTCTGTGATGGATAGATGTCAGGAGCCCAGCAAACAGTACCATGAACTGCCAAATGTGGGATAACTAATGCTTGAATGAAGATTTCAACAACGGTGAACTGAAGCAGCAGCAGCAGAAGTCAATGGCTTCAGTGATGTCACAAATTAGTGTCTTCAATTTCATCTCTGCATCAACTACACTGTCAAGGACTGATATTGAAATCCTACAATCATAGGATGTCTTAAACAATGTCACAATATGCAATATGCTCAACATAGGCAATGATATACAGCTCAAAACAGAATCCTACCTACTTCAATTGCAGATAGTGTGCCCACTCTCAAGAACTGTCACAGAGGGCTGAAACTTTCCATGGAAAAGGAGGATAAAATTAGAATAAGACCATCTGCGCAAGATCATTGCATTCACGGTTAACACTGTGGTATTTCAGAAAATATCACAGTGTATTTGAAATGTCAGTTGAAAACATGAAAACACTTACAGCAATTTTTCTTATTTCAAGGTAGGAACAAATTATTGCAGATGCTGGAATCTGGAAACTGAAATGCTGGAAATACTATCAGAATGTCTCAGACAGGATCCATGGAGAGAGAGCAGGCTAACGTTTCATGTCTAGATGATTCTTCATCAGAGCTGAAGTGAAGTGTGGAGGGTACAGCATTTATGCTACATGCATTGCAGTAACTGTAATTGACGCGCTAGTCTTTCTATTCCTAGGATGAAATCAACAGATTTAGCTTTCTGAGCCTTTGGATTTTTATTCCTTAATCTGAACAGTATCAATGTGTGCTCTTTACCCTGACACAGGTAGGACGTTTAAAAATTAAGTACCGTTTTGACGATCAAACGGAAGTAAAGCCCTGAACTCTTCATGGAAATGACCTGGTTTGTTTTAAATACTGTAAACATCTCCCTTGACACAGTAACGAAGATGACTGATCGCTGGCACTGAGCCCAGGCAATCAACAGGTCGGTTCACCTGCAGCGTCTCTGATCTCACCCACCGGAAACCTTAAGAGAAAGGCAAACTGTAAAAGACTGAAAAAGTGTTCTGGGGGGTGGGGTAGGGTAGGGTTGGGCAGAGCGAGGTGGGGGGGGGAAGAGTCGGAGCGGCTGGAGCTGACCCGCAGGCCGGGAGACACCCCCTTTGAGGGGAATGATCTCCTTGCACACGCACTCAGCCCCCGCCGCGGGGATTGAAAACTCATCCACGACACCACAGGCTTCGCAGGCAAAAGCCAGTGGAAGCGGCCCGCTCGCCGAGCAAAAGTTTGCATGGGCCGTGCGGCTGCCTCCTGGATATAAAGTGTTTGGATCTTCCTCACCTGCCGCCGGCGGCCGCCGCCTCCTCCTCCTCCTCCTCCTCCTCTCACCGAACCAACATGAAGGGAAATCGCCACAAGTGGAGGAGTCGCAGTCTAATTGAACTCGGAGCCACGAACAGCCGCACTGCAACTGGCGACACGTGTCCGCTTTGTATTTCCTCTCCCAGAGTTGACCTTCCTGCTCCGCCGCGCACTCACACACACATAGCCGACTCCCCAGGTCACAGTTCCTCCGGCTCACTCCGTCCCGCTCACTGCAACACTCGACCTACCGCTGCCGCCATCTTTGTTTGTGACTTTTTACTTCACCCGGACTAGCCCCGCCCCTCCAGGATGATTGACAGGCGAAGATTCCCCCCCCCCAAACCCCGCACAGCCACACCCACAGTTTGATTGACTGGGTGATTGCATTTCGCTCCGCCCGTCAAAGTCTGATGAATATACCCGCCCCCGAACATCAGCACCCACAGGCTGATTGACAGGAGACCATGACTATACCCCGCCCCCGCAGGGTGATTGACTGCTGACGATCCCACGATTCTGCCACACCCACAGCCTGAATGACGGGAGAGGGAATCATTCTTCACCGCCCCCGCAGGATGATTGACAGGTGAGGACATCCCTGTTCCGACATTAAGCGATGATTGACAGGTGAGGATCTCACCGTTCCTTCCCCCCCCACTTTCTGATTGATCGTGGTCGTTGCAGCTGGTGCTGCCTTTTGAGAAGAAGGTGTTAAGTACCCATCTGGATCGACAAATGAAAATGATACGAGGTCACCATTAGTGTTATGATTTAATTGCAAAACATTGTGGATGCTGAAACCTAAAATAAAAACGTAAAGCACAAACAAAACTCAATAGGTATGGTGGCATCTGTCCGACATGATTCCATCCATACTGACGGACGTAGAATGAGGTTTCATGCTGGGGGAAAGGGAGCAACGTTTAGGTAGAACAAAAGGGAAGGTCAGGGATGGGGCTGAATGGCTGGAGGGAGTGAATTACAAAGATGTCATGGAAGAAAAACAAAGGGAATGGTATGGTTGCAGTAAAGAAACAAAACACCAGCCCCCATTAGGGGAGACGAGTGTCTAGAGGTATTAGCGCATAATGTCCCAGGACCTTATTTTTGCTCTGGCACATGATGGAACTTGAATTTAATAATAAAAAATCTGGAAGTAAGAGTCTATTGATGACCATGAATCCATTATTGATTGTCCGGAAAAATCATCTGGTTCACTAATGCCCTTTTGGGAAGGAAACTGCCATCCTTACCTGATCTGGCCTACATGTGACTCCACACCCACAGCAATGTGGTTGACTCTTAATGGCCCTCTGAGCAATTAGGATGGGAAATAAATTCTGGCCTTGTCAATGATGGCCTCATCCTATGAATGAATAAATAAAGAATAATGGACAGCTTTGTCTGAATTAAGCAAAGACATGAGCCCAAATTTTCCAACAGGAATCCTTATTTCCAACCTAGATCAGACAATACGTTGCCCAGGTTGTGAACTGCAAGGTAGATGATGGGGTGATTATACATTGTGAAGCAACCCCTTTACTTGATAGCTGCTGTTTTGTTTTGACTAATTGGGTGGCAGGCACTCGGCTATCTCCAAGCACTAAAACATATCAAGCCTGATCTTCTGATGTCAACAGTAGGGAATATTGAGGAATCCACAATGTTGCATTTTAGGACCATCAGAAGTCCTGCCACATACACAAACACAGTAATTGCCCAGGAAGTTTCAACTTCCAATGAGCTGATTGGCAATGCCCAGGACGCCTGTGAATGACTCTTACATGTTTCTTGGTGTCAAAGATTTGGGCTAGATACACACAGCTTACCTGAATACTCAAGGTAAAAATGTTACACCATTTGATCTCTTGTGTATCTCAACAATTAACAGCATGACCCAACGTACAGGTACCTACCAAATGACCCATGATCATACCCCAAAACTGTCCACCAACAACAAACCCTCTCACCTTTACCAATGTGAGGAGCTAAACACCGAACCAAACTACCCAGTCAACCAACATAACTGACTCATTTAAAGTTTTTGAGAAGATTTGTAGTTCAGGTTGTGGATGAAGTTGTAGACTTGCTCGTCGAGCCGGTGTGTGATTGCAGATGTTTTGTCACCCTGCTAGGTTACATTGTCAGTGCGCCTCCGGTGAAGTGTTGGTATTCTGTCCCGCTTGTTACTTATATGACTTGGTTTGCTGGGGTGGCTGGCATCACTTCCAGTTCTGTTTTTTAATGTTTGGAGATCGAGTCCATTTCGATGTGTTTGTTGATGCAGGTCCGGTTGAAATGCCAAGCCTCTAGGAACTCCCTGGCATGACTCTGGTTGGCTTGTGCTATTATGGATGTGTTGTCCCAGTCAAATTTGTGTCCTTCTTTGTCCGTGTGTATTGAGACCAGTGAGAATTGGTCGTGTCTCTTGGTGGCTAGTTGGTGTTCGTGTATCTTTATTGTCAGTTTTCTTCCAGTTTGGCCTATGTAATGTTTCTCAAAGTCCTTGCATGGTATTTTCTATATTACGTTAGTTTTATTGGTTGTGGTATGGGATCCTTTACGTTCATCGGTAGCTGTCGCAGGGTGGTTGTTGGTTTGTGGGCCACTCTAACACCTAGGGGTCTGAGTAGTCTTGTGGTCGGTCATCTCTGATATGTCTCTGATGCATGGTAGGGTAACTAGTGTGTCTGGCCATGTTGTGTCTTCTTGTTGTGGACCACAATCAGCCAATAACTCACTCATTCACTCACCCACACTCAGGCACATGACTGCACACTCATTCACCCACTCACTTATTAATCCAGTGAAATTTCACCTCAGAAACATTTTAAAGCACTTGCTTCAGTACTGCAGCTGACGTAAAAAGGGGTTTCCCCTTGCACTGTTCCTCTTTCGCAATGCTTTCTAAGAATGGCTGTACAGAAGAGTTACTTCTACAGCTGGGACAGCCCCGAAGTATACTTAATGATCTGGCCTCTTCATCCCTCTATGATAAGAAATACATAGATTCTTTACTCTCTGAAAGAAGAATTTCCTCCTCATCTCTCTTAAATGGGTGACCCTATACTCTATTATGCCCTGTAGTCCTTGACTCTTCCACAGGTGGAAACAAATACTCAGCATCAAAACTGTCAAGCCCCTAAGAATCTTACATGTTTCAATAAGGTCACCTCTAATTCTTCTAAACTCCAATGAGTACAAGCGCAACTTACTCAACACCTCCTTATAAGAAATCCATATCCAGGATCAACTTAGTAAACCTTGTCTGGACTGCCTCCAATGCCAATACATATTTCTTTAGTTAAGTAGGATAAAACTGTTCAAAATATTTTATGTGTGGTCTAAAAAGAGGATCATATAGTTTTAACAGGACTTCCATTTGCCTTCCTGATTACCCGCTGAACTTAGATACTTGCATTTTGTGACTTAATCATGAGGACTCTTGAATACCTGTGTGCTACAACATTCCTCAGTTTAAATAGGAACATAAGAACAGTAGCAGGCCATTCAGACCCTCAAGCCTGTTCTGCCATTCAGTGAGATCATGGATGATCTGTGACATAACTTTATATATCTGTCTTTGGCCTATATTTCTTAATACTTTTGCTTATACATTTATCTACATCAGATTTAAAATTAGCATCTGATCTAAAATACTCAGTTCCTCTTCTTGCTGCCAAAGTACATAATCTGACATTTTTTCACATTATATTCCACATGCTGTGTTTTTCCACACTGACTTAACCTGTTTGTATCCTTCTGCAGACTCTTTGGGTCATCCTCACCACTTGCTTTCCCCATATGTCATTTGCAAAGTTGTTGATAGGACATTCATTTTCTTCAACCAGTAATGGATGGCTGAAGCCTTAATATGTACTGTAAATAATTATGGCCTCAGCACTGATCCCTGTGGTGCTCCACAAGTTACAGGTTGCCATCTTGAAAATGTCCCCCTTATCAAACTCTCTGTCATTTATTAGTTGGCTAATTCTCTATCAATGCTAATATAATACCCAACCGACCTGCCCACTGAAAAGCGAGGCCACGCAGTCACTGGGCAACTCTGTGCACATTGATCGGCATGCAGATGAATGGTTCCTGCTTCCAGGAGCCTCTGCTGCACTCAGAGGTCCATGCAGAGGCAAAAAAGAATAATGACACTGTTTCCCCGACACAGTGGGCTGTTATTAGGTAGCATTGTGTGGAGTACCTTACCTTATCACCCAAATATATTATATCTATTGGTTCTCCTTTATCTTGTTTGTCACCTCCTCAAAGAATCCTAATGAATTTTCCAGGCATGAATTCCCTTTCATGCAGCCATGCTGAATCTGCTTTATTATATTATGCATTTCTAAGTATTCTGCTATTATATCCTTTGTTATAGACTCTAAAATTTTCCCAATGACAGATGTTTAGCCAACTGGCCAATAATTACATATTCTTGTCTCCCTCATTTTTTGAATAAGGGTATTAAATTGATAGTTTTCCAATCATCTATGGACTCTAAGAACCTAAGGATTCTTGAAAGATTATGACCACTGTATCCATTATCTCTGTAGCTACTTTTTTTAATATCCTCAAATGCAACCCACCAGGTCGAGGGGACTTATCGGCCTTTAGCCCCATTAGCTTCCCTAGTACATGTTCTTTAGTGATAGTTATTGTTTTTATTTCCTCCCCACTTAGCCCCTCTATTATTTAGTACTTTTGGAATGTTATTGGTGTTCTCTACTGTGAAGACTATTGCAAAGTATTTATTCCACTCCTCTGCCATTTCCTGTTCTCCAGTATTATTACCCCAGCCTCATTCTCAAAGGAGCATATGTTCACTTTGGCCTCTCTCTTCCATTGTATGTCCTTAAAGAAGCTCCTTTTTTTTTATATAACTTTATAGTTTACTGTCAAAGTTTTATTTTCACCCTCATTTTTTTGTTGATAATCTTTTGTTGGTTTTTAAAACTTTCCTAATCCTCTGGTTTACCAATAATCTTTGTGCACTGTGTCTTTTTCTTCTTTCAATGTGATACTATCTTTAATTTCTTTGGGTGATTTATCCCCTTCCTAGAATCCTTCTTCCTTGCTTCAATTTATCTTTGTTGTGAGTCATTATTATTTTCTTAAATGTCTGCAATTATTCTTCAACCATCTTTATCTTTAAACTCCTCTCCCTGTCCACCACAGTGAACTTTGCCCTCATTCCTATTTAATTACCCTGATTTAAGTTTAGCAGTTGCTTCCCCACTCAAGTGTCTCAGGCTCAAACTGAATGCTGGATGCTACATG